ATATGTAATGCATAAAATAAAACCAATTCACTTCAATTTGTCACGTACAACCACTTTTTCATGAAAAAGACAAAATGTATAATACAACTACACGATGGAATGTTCGTGCGCTAGAGTCGCTACACATCACGAATATGCACTGTCTTTGATACGAATCTCCGATACAGTCTTCAGATCATGAAATATCGTACACTCGAAATTCAATAGAATTTGTTATTGTTTTCTTTAATAATACATAAAAAATACAAATACCATTCGTCACTTGATAATAACACTAAACATGAAATCAGAATGAGCCGCCATTAAAATTCGACCGACAGCGACAGGCTGCACGAGTTTAGAGCAAGTTGGGGGCCGTGGCTACGGCATGCGCCGCTTGTTCATTATCTTTCTCTCTTTCTTACTCTCATCAAGCTTTTCCCACGGTTCAGTATCTCTTCTTGACTAGTTCTATCACTCTCTCTCTTTTTTTAACCTTCTTTTTCTTTCTTTTGGTTGTATATCAAACTACAGATATCGCGTCCTCCCGCGGATGAAAACCTGTACTGTTTATTTGCTTCAATGGTAAAATGTATTGTAATAATTTTGAATTTATCAGATCTACATCTTCAATGCTTTGAAGTTTAGAAAACCTCCAATTTGAAAAGAATAGAAGAAAAAAGAAATAATTTCTTTACTTACTTATATATAAAAAGAAAAATTTTACGTAACATCGAACGAACAAAATATAGCCGGTATTATTTAATAACAACAAGATGCTTACAATGAAATTCGATTCATAACTTTATTGGATACAGCACCTCTCATGTTTTCTTTTTTTTCTCTCCATATAGCTTTTCCTGACGTCTTTTATTACATCTTATCACAAAGGCTTTAATTAAGATGGTATATTTTTTTTTTATCTCCTTTGTACTTACATTCTTTACATACTGCACAAATAAAAATTCCTTCCTAGAATATCTTTTCATAAGTCGACTGGTTAAGTAGTCAAGTCCAAAATGAATCGTGTATGTGTCACGATTTATTATTGTAAATATGTTATTTACACATATATCTAAGCTTCGAAAGCTTTATATTTTTCTTTTTTCGCATTTATGGAGAGGGTTTGGATTTTTTGGCTATGGTATGTCTTCATTTTACATGTAACAAATACAATAGATAACTAATGTAGCAGGTCATAATTAAGAACATGATGATAGACATATAACGTAACTATGTAAGACTGGATTCATCCTATCTGCCCTCTGAACGTTTTTTCAACCGTTCTTTTAATCTCGTTATACAATATATATGTAAAGCTGTATATCTGTATTTGTGTGTCTATAATATTTACTTAAATGTTAATTTCTTACAGACCGGTTACATCTTTGAAAGGAAAAATCTCTATATATTTCTATATAAGCCAAACTTAGCATACCTAAGTAGATATTTTTAATATCAGATAGAAATACACACTTTTTTAAAAGTCTCTTATGTTTTATATACGACAAGTAACATTTTGTCAATTACAAGGAAGGCTTCTCCAAACACCGTATAAAAATTATAAAACAGAAAGAATGTTTAAAATTTACCGCCTAACAAGTTATTATACATGTGTTCATAAGAATCGGTGCTATGGCCAGCCTCCTTAGGCCTTTAATATAAGATATTGAAATTAAAATCTAGGCTAAACTGCCTTACCTCCTGATATTCAGGTGGATACTTTTTTTTCTCTATTTTCATTTGGAACTTTGTTTCACTCGGATTTAAGCAGCTTTAAACTACATTATGTAAAATGAATATCTTTTGATATTTATATTCCCGCTGGTCCGCTTAAAGTCTTTCAGCCATATTTTTGTCTAGCATCCAAGTTTATCCAAGATTATTCAACAAGTCCATGAATATCCAGCCTCGTTTTTAATATCATTTATCTGTGAACTAGTATTAAAACTAGCCACAAACAAATTGAGTTATTACAAGTACAAAAAAGGATCGTGATCTACATTGTTTCATGCGACTTCTTATGTGTACGTTTAACATGTCAATATGTAAGAGCGCGTTCAAAGCGCTACGATTTATTTAGATAAATTACGTATCTCATTTTGCAAGGGTGTACTGTATTATGCATTAATAACGTTGTCACTGACGCAAAAATGTTGATAGTAATAGTTTTAGTATTAGTGGTAATTTTATCTGTGATAGTAGTACTGATGCTGGTGGTAATGGTGGGATATTCTATTGTAGATGACAAGCAAAACCATCTATCCTAATGAGGGAAAGTCATTCTCATCATCTACTTTTGGAGCATTTTGACGTCCTCGAGGCGACCTTTGCTCAGATTGTGAAGCCTAAAATTTGAGAATGCATAATTAATATATATTATATTTATCTATGTTAAATCTCAATCGAAAATAAATATAAATACTTACAGGACCACGTGAATCTCCATCTCTGGGAGCACCACGATTACCAAATCCGCGACCATTTGCACGTTCTCCACGACCTCGTCCTCGACCACGTCCACCAGAACCACGTCGAGAATCACTGAATTGTATTTCAATGCCTAACACGCGTTTTTGCCTTCCAACGCGTTGAGGATATTCTGCCGCAGCATCATATTCTTCCTCTTCTTCTTCTTCATCATCAGCACCTTCCTTCTTTCTTTCCAAAGCGTACATTTTCTTCCAGCGAGTTAAATCTTCACCTTCTCCAGCCTTACGCAAATTATATTGAGGCTTAACTCTGTTATTACGTAAAGCTTTCCATTCATCCAATGTCAATTCACGGGATTCTTCTTCAACTGGTTTTTCTTCTACTGTATCTGTAGTTGCTTCTCCTTCCTTTATCTCTGTAGTTGTTTGGTTAGTATCTCCATCAGATTTTTCATTAGTCCAATCTTGACTTTCTTGATTTAAACTTTCTCTGAAAACAATATAGGAAAAAACAAAATCTTAAAATATGAATATCTTTTAAATCTTAAAAAGTTTTGTTATAAATAATATTTACTCAATTTCATCATTGTGGGTACCCCAATTATGGCTACCAGCACCATCCTTTTTATCCACTGGTTTAATTCCACTGCTTGAACAAACATAAATTTTTAATTCAATTTTTTATATTTATTAATACTAAAAATACTTAGAATAAAATAATAATAAATAAAAGATTACGTTTTATCAGAACCAGATTGACGATCGAATTCACGTTTTCCACGATAATCATATCCTCCACGACCACGTGATCCTCCACGTCCACGCACCATTCCGCGCATTCCACCACGACCCCTACGTTCTCCATAATCTCCACGTTGATTATCATTAGAATTTCGGAATTCTCGAGTTTCACGTCCCTCACTAAAAAGTTAATAAAAGAATTTAAAAGTTGGGAAAAAATAATGTCAATTTCATATTCTTATTATATTTTATATAATATACTATAATATACTAACCCAGGAGGTCCTCGTCTTAATTCTCCCTGACCACGGGGTGTTCTTTCACCATCTTCGCGATTACGTCTGTTATTGCGCTCTTCTCTACTTTCTCCGGAGAATTTCACATTACGATCTCCACCACCAGTTCTTGATTGAGATGGTTTTTTATCTCCTGCATATCAAAATTTTACAAGTTTAAGAATAATAATAAAATAAAATTGCTATAATTAATAAATATAAATTAATGTAAAAAATTATTAATTTAAATAAGAATATATATTCATATTCTTATTTAAATAATGTCTTGATATAAAATTTAATATAAAAATATATTTTTTAAATAAAAGAATATTATATTTTGAAAATATATAGTAAATTCTTTGATTTTATTAATTTCATTTGATATATATATTTTATAAAATACATAAATATAAAACCATCTAATTTTAATATAATATATTGATTATTTGAAACAAAAAAAATACTTATACAAATCATTAATTAATAAAATGTAATAATTTACTATCATTTACTAATCTTAAATTGTACTAAAATTATATTAAATTAAATACTTAAATTACATTAAAATTACCTATTTTATAAATATAATGTATAAAATTTTGGAAATGAATCATATTCCCATTTTTTTTTATTAAATATGAAGTTATCTATCGATAAATTTTTTTTTATAATGTAAGAATATTACATTATAAAGCATAAATAATTTTCAAAAAAGTTACAAGAAATAAATAGTAGAAAATTAGAATTTGCACGAATAGTTTGAATTTATAAAATAATACTAATTGAAAAAATTAAAAATTAAAAATAAATGATTGCTAGTGAAATAAAAAAATCATTTATTATGCGGCAAAATATCAAAAGCACATGGACCCACGAGGACTAGGGGCGACGGCCATAATACCGCGCACGAGGCAAGATTGTAATGAAAAATTACTAACCTTGATCTTTCTTTGAATCTTGCACTTTAGATGGTTGTTGCTGAGAATCTTTGATCACGCGGTTTTTTTGCGTTTTATTACCGGTTCCTTTTTGTGCGTCCGTCTGCTTACTCTTATTCTCTTTCTCCGAAAGCTTCTCCTTTTTCCTAGCTTCCTTCTTTAGTTCCTCTTCTCTAAGCTTTTCATGTGGATCTTCGTCATCACCCAACGCTAACGAGAATTTGTTGGTAACGGCAATGCTGTACATATTTTCCATGATGTCTCTTATCCTCTCTTCGTCGAGGATCACGCGAAAATTTCACGGCTACTCTTGAGCCCTTGTGTAACAGAGACATTCAATATTTCAATATGGCTGAGTCGGAGATAGTTCACCACGAGGTCTGTGCTCAGGGAGGGACCGCATAATTGTCTTGCACCCAGCGCGCCACCTCCCCACCAATATTATTTATATCTTT